AACCATTTAGTAATTCCACAAGCGATTCCGATAAAATAGTAATATGAACTGCAGAAGCCTCTGGAGGGTCGTATGTTAACTGAGAGGGCACTCAATCCGTCGTTCTGCTCGCCCTAGTGAATTGCGATCACCGCATTCTCGCCCCTGATGTCGGGGCACCAGGTCGTGTAGGAGATGCAGAGTTTACAGGAAGTCGAACGCAAAGGTAAGCCATGAGTAACAAAATGCCTTCGAAATTACTAAACGCAACCCCTCTAGGCTGATCGATAACAACGATCATTTGTTCCCTGATACGCGGAAGTTGGGGAACGTTGGCCCAGTAAGTACCAATACCCTTAGCCTGCCCGGCAAGTGGTTGAGGCCACATTCGGAATGTTTCAGATTTCTACAGATCCCCTCCAGTTTACCATACAGATGGAGCCAACCCACGTTGCTGAAGCTATGGCGTCACTGCTAAGAAGAAGTCTCTGTCTTTGTAAGGAGTGCAACCTTTTGTGATCTTCCAGCTCCAATTTACACACTGGGGCTACACAATTCGACAGTTGGATGGCGGATTCAAGACAGAGATGTGGAAAGGCTACCATCTGCGATTCGAGAGCTGGATCCTCACGAAGACGCAGTGCAAGAAGTGAAAGGGGAAGTAAAAAGTGCAGTGCGAGCACGGGAATTAATAAGAACTCATTACGAGACTCGCTAATTATTATCATCGGTAGCTTCACTCCCTACATTGGCCCTAGGCGAAAGGTTAAAGGGAACGGAAAGAACCGCGACGCCTACTACCTCTCCCCCATTCAAAATTCAAGACCCATTGCGAAGGGCGATTGTAGTCATAGCTGCTTTCATGAATATCAATCCGCATGTGGTATCATGCAGCCTTAAACGTCTCAGTCGTTCTCAGCACCATAACTCCGTTCGTGGATGTCAAGTTCTTCGGGAAAGATGCCCTGCCACAGGAGTGGGAAGCCTCGGGTGTGGCCCGGACCATAATAACGAAATAGTCGGACGTTTCAAGATTCATCTCTTGTACGAGAAGCTACGTAAATTCTGGGTGCCCCACTTGCCAGCACCAAGCACTGAGACAGATGAAAAGACCGTCAGTCGCGAAAGAAGCGCCAACTGCTTGGAAGCTGGTCGTGCTAGCAGAAATATGCCCAAACGTGAACTATTTTGGTACCGTGGTCGATGTGACATACATGAGTCCTTGAAGTAAACCGAGTGAAGAGACCACTCTATTTAAACCGGGAGATGTCAGAAGAGGAGTAGGTGACCAATGTTTTCATCTACGATTATCAGTGATCTATTGCAGAGTTCGCGCTGGAAGTGGGTACCGAGCGGAACCAACTCTCCAATATTTTCAGTCGCCATTTTTTACCCGTCTGGGAGCTCACTGTTGCTCCAGTAAAAGTCCGCCGCTGTTCCCGTAGGAACCCAACAAGGATTTGCCAGAAGATTCGCCCATGCGAGTCACGCCAGATCTCTCATCGCCTCACATTATTCGCGCTTAGCTTTTGCTGTCATATTTGCTATCGTTCCTTTACTTGTATTTGTCTCTCTGCTGATTGCTCCAAGACCTCTATGTCGCTACAGCTCGTACCCAAGCATTTCTTTTGCTGGCTGTCGCTGATCATTTGCCCTATTACCATTTCAGTCATCATTTATCCCTTTGTGACGTTGTTCTCACTTTTGCCGCGTCATATCATCGCTACACTTTCACCTCATTTATCGTTCCATTTTCATTCGGTTTTTTTACATCCTCATCTTATTTCTAAGTCACGTGTTCGCTGTTGTTTTATTTCGTTCGCCGTAATCTGTTTCACATTGTTGGTTGCAACGCATAAAAATTGCGCACGAAAGCTTGATTGTGACCGTTCGAATCGGTATATACCACGAGAATTGTTTGGTAATACGTCCTAAGAGGCTATGTCGACCCGACTTGATCCTCATTATACTCTACCAGCAGAACTGATTATATAACACTCTTCATTTATCTGATAAATCTGATACTTTTACTCGCGTGGTACAGAAGCAATGGTTCAGTCGTGACTCGGTAACATGGTTACTTCATAGGAGCCTGTCCATGCTTCTCCAGTCACGAGTGGTCACTCCGCCACTGATAGGACGACAGTTCAAAATATCTTTATATTGTGGCCTTCCTTATTTTTGCAATAAATGCCAGCCATCCAAGGTCTCAAAAACTAGCCGCCAGTCAGACGTCTTTGCGTATTCACCAGGGAAAGATCCCAAGTCGAAGTGGCCATTTGAAATGAGACCTACACTGCTAGACGTGTTTTTGGATGCTGAGTTCAGATCTGCTTTCCAAATTTGCCGAGCGTTTCTCTGAACGGAGTTATGAGGGTGGTTTCAGGGAGCTTAACATGAGAAAACTTAAATTACATGGATGTTCCTAACCTCTCAACGAGGGCTTGGTGTAGTGGTAAGCGTGACGCTTTATAGACGAGAGGCTAGGGGTGGGGTTTTGTGGGGTTTTGTGGGGGACGTGGTTTTTGCATTCTATAAAATTTTTCCCTTAAGGACTAGAAAATACTCTTATGGTGAGATTATCACGTTTTATGAGCTTTTAGTGAATTTGCTGATACCTTCTAATACCTACCTACCTGTTACCGTGTAGGAGATTCCTTCGTGCGCAAAATTTGGAGGTCCGGGAGGGAAAATGCATATGATGAGCAATGATGATGCTAGAGTGCGTGTTGATGCTAGATTGGGTGCGGTGGTGCATAGCAGCTCTGGACTCACCAACACCGGCGCGGTGATAGTGGACTCGAAGACCGGAAAGCTATCACCTTACCTCCACAAAAGCAGGTAAAGGGATCGACACCCTGCTTGAGGCTAATGCACCCCGATAGAAGCTTATTGCTCATTTCCCTTTGAAAATATGGTTAAATGCACCACCTCATATGAAATAGCTCTTAATCTCAACTTTTGTGTGTACACCCGAGACCCCATTCCTTGCTCACCATCGCTTGTCCACTTTCAGTTCTGTCCGGCTAGGTTTAGGAAATTTCTCATACATTCATGGTATGCCGCCGCCTACTTAATCACTCACCCGGATGATTTTGCGACGCCTACACAATTCTATTTTCCATCTGATTTGGGGTTAGTAAGTGTAAAGCAATGAACTGTGACGAGTTCTTTTTCATCCGT